TCTCTCTCTCTCTCTCTCTCTCTCTCTCTCTCTCTCCTCTCTCTCTTCTCTCTCTCTCTCTCTCTCTCTCTCTCTCTCTCTCTCTCTCTCTCTCTCTCTCTCCTCTCTCTCTCTCTCTCTCTCTCTCTCTCTCTCTCTCTCTCTCTCTCTCTCTCTCTCTCTCTCTCTCTCTCTCTCTCTCTCTCTCACTTTAGTCTTTCTTGCCCGCAACCGATCCCGGGTGACCGCAGCTCGTGTTCAACGAGGCTCGCGCGGCCCTCGCCCGGAAAGAGAATGGGAAATACGATGAGCATGTTAGGCAGCTCCCCAGGGCCAGATGATGCAGTTTTGAGAAGACCGAAGGAGGCAGACGTGCGACAGCAACACGTGGACGCCGGCTGCTCGAGGCCTCGACAGAGCACCCGAGGCAAGTCGGGTGGAACAAAAATGCAATCGAACACAGGAGAGAGAAAGAGGGAGGGAGGGAGGGAGAGCTTGAGCCGACACACGTACGGCCCTTCTGCGCTGCTGCACATGCTTCACTATGTAAAATATAACAGCATGTTAGGCAGCTCCCCAATCCCAGATGACGCAGTTTTGAGAAGACCGAAGGAGGCAGACGTGTGACAGCAACACGTGGGCGCCGGCTGCTCGAGGCTTCGACAGAGCACCCGCTCCCGACAGGCGGAAATGGCCGAAGGCCGCAGATAAAATAAACTAAAGATCATCAGCCGGATTCGCAACACCTTAGGACACTCCCCACAGGTGCGCCAGACGTCTGGACTGGACAACGTGGGCACTCTCGATCATCTGCGCAGCTGCTGCGCGTGCAAAGGCGGGCGGATACGAGGCGGCCAGGGCAGCGTAGTGGACGCCCCCCGGGGCTCTGCCGCTGAGCACGAGGTGGGGGGCGCAGAGACCTGGAGCATGCACGCCCACACGGGCAGCATTTTTGACTGATGTGATATCCTGAGCCTCCATGCCACGCACAAATACGGGTAGGCTTCTTCCAAGACGTGCCATACTGGCACATGTGACAGGTGGAGGAGGAGAACGAGGGGAGGCGGGAAAGGGCCAAAAACCTTGGAGCCTGCCACATGAGAGAAGTTAAAGGGTTCTCCAAAAAGACTGGTATCCCGAGAGAGGCACACAGCTCGATCACCCTGCACGTGAAAAGGAAAGAAGCGCTTCCGACTTTCAGCCGTGACGCCTCAGCCGAGGAGAGGCCATCTAGACCCATGGGGGACTCGGGCGACCTGAGAGGCTTGCGCAAGGCGCAAGTCCAGGACGTGCACGGGGTGCCCAGCCACACCCCGATCACCGCCCGAGACTTCACCCAGCCCGAGATCCTCCGCTGGAAAGTGAGGGACATATGGTTCTCTGCCGGCCCGTTCAGAATGTCAAGCGAGAGACAGGCGAAGCCAGCCCGCCGAAACTGATGGCCGATGCGGCCACACCCAGCAAAGAGTTCTAAAAACAGACACCGTCTGCGCAGGCGTGCGCCTCTCAGGGCACGCTTGAACTTATGAGTGAGATGCTGCTCTACGACGCTGGGCGAGCCAATCACCGCCGGGCCGAGCGGCCGGTGGCCGCAGTCCGCCTCACGGTCGGCGCCCTGCGCAGGCACGCCTGGAGGCAGACGGGCACGGCGCCGGCCAGCGGCTGGACCAGGGGCCCGCCCTGCAGGACGGCAGCGAAGTGCGACTCCACCAGCCTCCCCAGCATGTACACGTTGCCGAGCACATGGGCCATCTCCGCCAGCAGCTTCGTCTCCTTCGCGTACCGCTTCATAGAGCTGGGGGCCTGCCACCGCCCCCGCCTCTGCGTCTCCGCGGGAGTCCGCCGGCGCGTGAGGATGTCCTCTGACGCCCCCCCGTGCCGGAGGCTGTAGAGGTGCGGCGACAGCGCCTGCAGGCCCAGGGCCTCCACCGCGCGGCTGAAGTGGAGCCGGAGCTCCGAAGGGCTGAAGGACCAGAGCAGCTGGTCGTTGGCCACCGCGGACTTCAGCGCCTCCAACGGGGCCTCCAGCCACCGATCGAAGTCGATGACCACCGACTCCTCGAACAGGTTCGTCTTCCCTGGCTGCTGGGACTGGAGGTCGTGGAGGAGGAGCCCCCACCTCGCGCGCTGCGGCCCCGCGGCCGGCGAGGGGCGGATCAGGTCCCGGCCCTTCAGGCGGAAGCACTCGCACGGCCTGAGGTAGCAGCTGAACGTCAGGGCCACCCACAGCGCCATGCTGGGCCTCCCGGCACAGACCAAGTGGCCCGCGACGGCCAGCGCAGCCGCCTTGGGCAGTGGGCAGCGGGTCCGAGGAGGGACCCGCCGCTTCCATGCCACGGCGCAGCGGCGGCTCCTTGGCAGGAAGCCCCTGGCAGCGCCCTGCAGCTCCGGGATGAAGTACGCCATGGCCGCCAGGAGCTGGGAGCCGGTGTCCGACGCCTCGCCCGCCACAAACAGCGAGTTCATGAAGTCGAAGAGGTGAATGTCCAGCTGGGTCCAGGTGGCCCAGTCCCTCTTCGTGTCGATGCAGCACGAGTGGAACCTGAGGGCCAGCCGGCGGCACTGCGCCTCGGCCACGGGCCGGACCGCCACTCGCTCCAGGGCGGACAGGCCGAGGACGGGGCGGCTGCACGCCACCAGCGACGCCGCCAGCAACGCCCGCTGCTGGGCCAGGGCGTCGTCAGCCGTCCTCCGCCGCCGCGGGGCTGCGGCTGGCCGCCGCTTGGGCGCCATCCGAGGCCGACGGCGGAGATGCCGCCGAGGCACCCTGGGCTCGCAGAGCCCGCTCCCCTGAGAACCAGCCCAGACGGCCTCGAGAGAGGGAGTCCGAGGGGTTGAGCTCCGACGGGATCCAACGGACGTGGACGCGGCTCCCCGTGGCCAGGCCCAAAGCAGCCAGTTTCCGAAGAGGTCCCCGAAGATGGACCGAGCGGGCCCTGCCTTTTGTGGCCCCAAGGGCCAGGGGGAGGTTGTCGACGAGCACGAGGATACGCTTGCCGACCGCCGACGAGTCCCTGAACAAGTGCCTCAGGGCCAGCAAGAGGGCCTCGCCCTCCAGCTCCAGAATGTTGGACCCCAGCGGCACCTTGACCGCCACGACGTTGCCCCAGCTCCCAGGATGTAGAAGCCCCGCTGGGACCTCGTTGAACTCGGCCTCTGAGACCTCCAGGTAGCTGGGCTCCAGGTTGCCCGAGAATACCGCCGTGACCTTGCCGGGAGGGGGGGTGCTCTTCATGATCCTGATGGAGGGCACGTTCTCTGGCTCGTTCAGCCCCCTCGACACGATAACGCCAACGCTCGCAGGTCCGACCGATAGCTGCGACGCGATCTGCCCCAAGATGTCGATGAACCACCCCGAGACCGAAATCACTTGCATCACTACAGCAAACGCGATGATGCCACTCGGCCGACACGTCGAGGCGAAGTAGCGGGAGGAGGCAACGAACCTGCCATAGTTCTCTCCGAACCGACTGCCACAGAGTGGAAGGAGTGGTTCCCGCGAACTCCACAAAGGCATACACGGACTGCGAGATGCTGAGCCCCTCGCGGCGTATGAGGGTAGTCCAAGTGATATGGCCCACTAACACACGCATGAGGGCCCCACTGCACCGGCCTCTCCTCAGAATCTCCTCCAACATAACGAAGACGCCAGATGTTTTTGTGGCGCACCGATAGCTCACAGCCACGTGGAAGACTCAGTCCCCAAAACTCCGCGTCCTCGGCAGCCGACTGGAGCTCGTGGACCGCCAGGCCGAGAGACTGCAGACGTCGAGAGATATACTGAAGACGCTCGTTCACACACCTCGCTGACTTACCGAGGGTAAAGAAGTTGTCGACATAGGCAGCGGCGCCGATGGACGAAGGGCACCTGCGACAGAGACCAGGCCTCCCGTCCTCCACCAGATCAGCATCCTCGAACCCGGCGTCACGAACAACGTTTCGGAGACAGGCTTGGCAGACGTGCATGGCCCAGTTGAACCCCATCGGCATGGCCCGCAGACACGGCAGCATGGCATCCCCAAGGCCTCCCGGGACGTCCGGCACTCCGAGCGAGACGAGGACCCCAGCGTCGACCACGGGCAGCGAGAACAGGTCCGACATACCGGCGGGGACCTCCATGTGATAGAACGCGGTTTCGAGGTCCCCCGAGGCGATATGGCACTTACCTCCTGGCACTTCTAAGCTAGCAAACGCACTGGGAGTTGGCAGACGGGTACTAGGTGGGGACCTAAAGGAGCAATTGACCACCCGCGCGTCGAAGATCAACATTTGTTGGCCCCCTTTCTTGCGGACGAAAAATACCCCCATGGCCCCTTGACGGCCCAGGGCACGGTGAAAGTGAAACACGCCCCGAAAGTGGGCCTCCCTTAAACATTTTCCGTACTCGAGCGGGTTGGAAGAGAGGAGAGGATCGATGTATGCCCCGCGCGGGCAAGCCTCGCGGCGCAGAGCCTCTGCCTCAGCCGGGGGCCTAAGCAGGTTCCCTCGCCAATCCTTAAACACTGACGCGTCGGCCGGGGAAAGCAGCTCCAGGACAGGCACCGGCTTACAGTCCCGAGAAGGCCAGGAAACGCGCTCAAAAGAGTAAGGCACCACGGGACCCGAATCGGAAGCATAAATCGTGGTCCCTGACAGGAGCTCGCCTAGGGCTCCCTGTGCAAAATCGGAGTCCCCCGGGGGGCGATCAAGGCCCCGGTAAGACTCCTGAATGTGGTGCAGCACCCGCTCCTGACTCGCATTGGGCGAGGTAGGCTGGGCACGAGCACCATAGAGATCGTTCAAAACCGCGACTCCGTCGGCGGCCCAGGCATCGGCGTGCCCCAGACACCGGCGGCGCCTCCACGCCCTCCGGCTCGGCCTGGCGACCCCGACGACACTTTGCTGGGACTGGGGGAGAGGCAAGGGAAAAAGGTCTCGCTGCACCCGCCTGGAAGAAGAGCTAGGCTCCCCGCGGGACGGCGAAGACGGGCCCTGGACGCTGGGAGAGGTGAGGGGCCTGAAACTCACCTCCCCCGAAGTACTCATTTCTTCTTGGGCCCCGGCTTGCCGCTCGCCTCCGTGCTGGAGGTCCCGCTAGCCAGGGCCCTTTCTTCACGGGCTCTGCGACGTTCCTTAGCAATTGCATATTCACGGGCCAGCTCAGCCGTGACCCAAGTCTGAAGGTCAAGGCAAATGCACAGGTTCCCGCGAACCCTACCTGTGCCCATGAAGAGGTGGCGATCGATGCCTGCCTGATCAGGGTTGGCAACTCTATCACGACACCGTTCCTCCTGAATCTGGAGATCTCGGCAAACTATCTCCAGGCTCGCATGATTGGGAACATTGACCTGGTCATAAACAGCGGCGAGCTCCAGGGCCCTGCAACATTTCTCGTGCTCCTCGACTCCGAGGTCCTTGTCTGTGAGACCAGCTTCTTGACGCCAGCGGACATGATGTCCCATGGGAGTCATGCTATTCTCCGAAATGAACCGGCAGCACCAGAGTGCGGTGCGAGGCCCTGACAAAGGCCAGTCAGGCCAAGGGCCCTCCCGCATCTGAAGCACTGCCTCTCTGAAGACACAGCGCCGCTGCCCCAGCTGATCCCGAGTGATCGGCAGGACACGAGCGTCCTGCAGCAGGGCCGCCGGTGGGAGCACCGGCGGAGCTCCCGCCACCAGGACGCCAGGGGCCCCAGGACCCCCCCCCAGCCGCAAGCACCACAGGGGCCCCCGCCCCCGGAGCCGCAGCGGCCCCGGGGGCCAACACGCCGGGGGGCGCCGGGCCAGGCCCACCCGGGGCCAAGGCGGCCGCCAGACCAACCAGGCCGCCAAGAGCCAGGCCACCGTCACCCGGGGCTGGAGCGAGAGGCACCAGCGCCCCTCCCGGCACTCCGGGGGCCGCCCCTGGCGCCAGGCCACCTGGCGGTTCAGCAGCCGCGGGGCCTGCTGGAGCAAGCGCGGCGGCCGCCGCTGCTGGGCCTCCGGCCCCGGCGCGGCCAACATTCACAGCGAAGTGAGCGGCAGGGGCTACATTCAGGCGGGCAGCGGCCGCCGCCCTCGCCGCCACGAAGGTGTGCAGGAGCGGAAGGGCACGAAATCCATGTACTCGTTGACCAGCCAGGCGCGGTGGCAGGCCGCCGCCCGCCGCATGCCCCGCGAGCGGGGCCCAGGCCGCGATGTCCCCCCCGGGCAGCAGGTCCTCCTCGTAGCAGTCGCCATCGGGAATGTACCCCGTGAGCGTGCGGGGCGGGAGGGTCGAGATCAGCGACGCGCACCTCTCGCGCCATAGCGCGGCGCCCGCAACGTTGTATTTCGCGGCGATGAAGTCGCCCTCGGCGACGCCAGCCGCTGCGAGCGCGCGAGCCGGCTCCGGGGGAGCCACTGGCCCCGCCCCGCCCGCCGGCAGGAGCGGGCCAACGCCAGGCGCCGCCATGCCTAGCCGCGGTGGGCCGCGGCGGCGCGCCTCTCGCGCGCTGCAGCTGCCTGGGCCCGCGCCTCAGCGGCGAAGTCCTCCCCCACCTCAGAGGTCGGCTGGGGCGGCACGTCCGGCAGGGCGGCCGCCGCGCCTGCTGGCACGTGGGCCGGCGACGCCGGCCCCGCCACGCCTGCGCCCGCGGAGCGCCGCGGGCAGGCCAGCGCCGGCAGCGGCCGGCCAGCGAGGAAGCCGATGAGATTGCCCACCACCAGCCCGAAGGTCAAGAAGCCCACGGCGATGAAGGCCCCAGCGGCGGCCACGCGCGGGATCGACGTGCCCTCAGGGCAGCGGCAGTCCCCGCAGCTCAGATGGGCAGGGTGGGAGGCTGGGAAAGTGAGCCTCGGGGCAGGCGGGGCAGACCGCTGCCAGCGAGGCTGTGTAGTAGTGGATGCCTACTACGAAAGAATCCTTCAGACCTTCCCACCAGATGTTGTGTTGCATCTGGTGAAATGAGAGCTTGAGCTGACACAAGTACGGCCCTTCTGCGCTGCTGCACATGCTTCACTATGTAAAATATAACATGCCTAGCGGAAGGTTGAGGTTGAGGATGAGGATGAGAGGAGGTGGAGGAGGATGAGGATGAGGAGGGGGGGGGGGGGGGAGGAGGGGAGGAGGGAGGGAGGAGGGGGGGGGGGGGGGGGGGAGGAGGAGGAGGGGGAGGGAAGCAGGAGGGATGAGAGGAGGGGAGGAGGAGAGGAGGAGGAGGAGGAGGAGGAGGAAGAGGAGGCGGAGGAAGAGGAGGCGAGGGAGGAGGATGAAAGAGGAAGAGGACGAAGACTCTCTCTTCCTTTCTCTCTCTCTCTCTCTCTCTCTCTCTCTCGCTCTTCCTCTCTCTCCTCTCTCTCTCTTCTCTCTCTCTCTCTCTCTTTCTCTCTCTCTCTCTCTCTCTCTCTCTCTCTCTCTCTCTCTCTCTCTCTCTCTCTCTCTCTCTCTCTCTCTCTCTCTCTCTCTCTCTCTCTCTCCCTCTCTCTCTCGCTTGAGTCTTTCTTGCCCGCAACCGATCCCAAGTGACCGCAGCTCGTGTTCAACGGGGCTCGCGCGGCCCTCACCCGAAGGTTGAGGATGAGGATGAGAGGAGGTGGAGGATGAGGATGAGGATGAGGATGGTGGCGGGGGCTATCTAGGGCCCTCTTGGAGCCATCTTGGGCCAAACAGGGCGGGGGGAGGGCTGGGGGGCTCTTGGGGCCATCGTGGGCCCCATGGCTCAAAAAGAGTAGATCCTTCAATTAGAGTCGCCCCCTCGGAGGCTCTCAAACTCAAACGGCGTCTTGCGGCCGTCTTAGAGCGCTCTTGGGCGCCTTTGGGCGATCTTGGAGCCGTCTTCGGCCTTCTTGGGCCCCCTTGGGGCTCTTTGGGGCCATCGTGGGGCCATCTCACTTCGTTGCGTCCGCTCCCCCCCTTTGCAGGCGGCGATGTGACGCTGTGCGACAACTTCGGCGCCTGCTGGGCGCTTCGGGCAGCCTGCGCGACAAGGCCGCGCTGCCGCCGCCTGCGCCTGCGCCCTCGCCCCCCCCCCCCCCCCCCCCCCCTTGCAGTCGGCGGCCCTCGGCCCAGAGGGCTGGTGAACGCCCGCGCGTTCCCGCGTAGACTAGCACGCGGGAACCGCCGCCAACCGAGCCCAAACCTGCCCAGATGCGTGCAAAGCAGCGAAATTGAGGGTGAGATGCGAAAATCATTAAAATGCTGAAATCACGAGACTCGGGAAACTCGGGGGACTCGGGAAACTCGGGAGCTTGCCAACGACCCGGGTGAGACAGTCATTTTCGGCCCTCAAACCATTGAAAACCATTAGTTGCTTGCACCTTGGATGCGGCTTTGAGAGCATTCAGCCTGCAATAGATAAAGGGAAATCGACCCAAACAGGGAAGAAAACTGACAAATCACCCGGGTAGAAATGACGCCCCCGAGGATGAAACCCGGGAAACTCGGGGGACTCGAAGGGATATTCAGAATCTGCAAAAACCCACGGTTTGGGCCATTGTGGGCGATTCCGAGCTAGTTCGGGACTGCATCCGTAGATCCCCCCCCCTTAACACCCTAAGGTCCGACAGAAACGGAGCGTGACGAACTATAACGGACATTGCAACGCTCAATTGGTTCCAGCGCCTTCTCAGGGCAGTGCCAGAGCCTCGTGAGGGTAGCGTGAACTAGCGCTCAGCTGCTGGTGTGATGGGGGGCATGGGAGGTGGTCAACGTGTCGTCAGACGTGCATGGGGGTCCTTGGACGCCGTCGCGGGGGCTCCTTTGACCTCCCCCTTGGCGCGTTTGCTCCGAGCAAACACGCCAAGGCCGCCAAGGAGGAGGTTGAGGATCACAAGGACGACAACGCTGACTAGAGCGGAGAGCACAAAAGGGAAGGGAAGGGGGTGAGAGTGAGGAGGGTGAGAAGGAGGAGGTACTGTGAATCAGGAGGAGCGGAAACGCTGGCGTGCGTCAGGGTCCGAACCTAGTCCATAGAAACGCCCTCCTTGTCGTGATGATCAGTAGCCATTGTTGCTCAATGCATCTTGGGGCGCGCCCTCGTTGCACCGAGCCCTGGCCCAGTTGCTCTGACAGTGCGGCGCGTTCGCAACTTGTTCAACCTCGATGGTCTGTTGCAGCGCCCGGTGATGGCCAGCACGAGATGCCGAAAGAGGTCGTCGGCCAACATTGATGACGACGACTTCGAGCAGCTCCTGAGTCAGAAACCCGACAAGCGGTTCTGGCATGTCCAGAGGTTCAGGGCTGGCGCCGACGGTCCTCGCTCCCTCGCAGAGTTCGCTCTCTGGCCAGGGCCCCACTGGCGTCGGCTTCGTGATCGAGACCCACAGGTGGTTGAGCGCTGGCGCGAACTTTTGTCACCAGGCACCATGAACACTTCTGATTACTCAGGGTGCGACATGCCGAAGGAGATGCGTTGGCAACTGGGCATCGGCCTTGCCCGCGTCGTCAACGAACCTTGGGCTGAACGGACGTCCTTCAAGTTCACGCGAGCATGCGACAATGCAGCCCTGCCCCAAAAGGCATTGGTCTGGATATCCGACCGTCTGGATCAAGGAGAATCTTGCGTTCTGGCAGACATCGAGGCCACCTTGGCCGATGGCGCCAAAGGCTGCTTGGACACGCTGGAGCCAAGCACCGACACCTCAGCTGGCGTCGAAGCGGCGCGGATCATAGCAGCATCGAGTTACAAGACCATGCTCACGTGGTTGCTGGACAACAGAGGGTGGCTGTGGCCAGAAGGTTCTCGCGCAGAGTGCATCAAGCACCATCAGGTGTGCCGAAAAAAATACAGAACCCACTGTTGAGGACTTGGCATGCTTCGCATCAACTGGGCAGGCAACACGTGCGTGGCTTGGGGCCCCGTATCCACCAGCAAGCTCAAAGCTCATTCTCATTCATCGGAGCGAGTGAACAACATTTGGATTGCTCAGAAGGTCAGGTGTGCGGAGATTGGCGAAGAGGATTGCTTCTTCCAGGAATGTTCGAAGTATCACCCTGAGCAAGAGAAACTGGCGGTGCCGATGTCTCCGTGGATTCATGTCGCGTGGGTTCAGTGGGGGCCTCTTCAGCGAGGTGAGCCACATCACCGCAATCGAATATTCTCGTTCGGGTGCATCAGAAATCGTTTGAAGTGGATCGGCCCAGAGACTCACGAGGCTGCGCAGAAGGAGCTTGAGGACATCTTCGGCGCCAAGGACGTCAACGACGGCTCGATGCACATGGGCGCCGACGAGGCATACCTCCAAAACCATTGCAACGCAGCTCGTCAAAGCCCGGCACATTCATTTCGAGAACGTCGCCGACACACCTACCAGCGGCGACGATATGCTCGACACGTTGTGCCCTGGCAATCGAGAGAGGCGCCTGGCCTATGAAACCATCAGGGCTCAGGAGTTCGATGGCGATTCCTTCTTGGCCGACTTGGACCACTGGCCGAACACTCGCTCCACTTACGGCAAGGAGTTCCCATGTCAGCTTAAACGTGGATGCGCCTGGTCTTGGGCATTGCAGGGAGCTGCAGTAGGCCTCGAGCACTTCGCAGCTCATGGGTTCCATGTTCTTGGAGGCATGCAGTCACGCTACCGATGCCGAATGCAGCCATTCCTTGAGAGTCTGCGCGAAACCAACCTGACGCAGCTGTCTGGCAATGGGATGTGCATTTCTGATTTCTCCTGTTGGGTGGCGTATGTCTTCAGCAATGTCGTGCGGGTCGAGTCGGACAAGCTGATCGAGGAACACCAGCTGGCTGCATCAGCTGCGGCCGCGTCGACGGAGGGGGTCGATGCCACGCCGAGCCTTTCGTGGGCGAGCAGGTGAAACAGACATTTGCTCCAGCGGTCATCAGGCAACTTCTGGAGGCGTCGTTGCGTTGAGAGCTTGCATTGTCTTCGCCTCATAGAAATATTCTTGTGGGCACGATAACGCAAGGAGTGAGATGGCCTCTTGCTGAGGCCGATAGGGGACCGATTACGAGGGAGAGGCCCTGGCGGCCTCAGAGGGATCACACCGCATGCCTCTCACAGGCTTGTTCTTCAAAGCAGGCATGCCCCTTCTCATTTTACCCCCCCTCCTCAACTGGCTTCCCCTCGGGCTCGACCAGCCTCCAGTGGCCTCCAGTAGATAGTAAATACCAGTTCCGATTCGTGGCATCAGCTGCCGGCATTAATCGCCAACAAATAAAATGAATGATGCGTTCACGAATGCAGATAGTCTCAGCGTGGTCTCACAGGTGCCCATGGGGACACATGCACCACACACGCAAATGCACAACGCAATCAAATATGCACACACACGCACACACGCTCACACGTCTGAAGGACTGGACTCACATGCACACAGCAACAGCAACACCAAGACACCAATGGACCGTCCGTGGCCAATTTTGGCTCAAACATTTCAATACGACAGGCCCCCTGGGACTCCGAAGTTACTTTCGTTGAGTTGGGCTTGCAACCGACTGCGCGCAGCCGCGCAGTCCCCGGGAGCCATCGTCATGGATCTTGATGAGTTCTCCAATCTCCAGTTCACGGATAAGCCACGTGGCGCAGATGGCGAGGATGGCGGAGATGGCGGAGACTGCGCTGGCGCCGCCAGCAGCTGCAGCAGAGGCCGCCGAGGCCGCGGCGGCAACCGCTCGGGCGGATCGGGCCGCGGCCGAGCGCCGGGCCGAGGCCGTGGAGTTGCGGCTGCGGCCTTGCTGAAGACTTGCGTGCGCTGTGCACGTATGCGAATGGGCAACTACAACTTCTGCGAGATGCACAAGCGCTACTACGACACGCTGGAGTGGAAACTCAAGAGGGCCCCGAAGGCGACGGAGGAGACGAAAAAAGAGTGGCAGGACCGAGGCGAGACAATTGCCACCCAGCCCTAATCGACTCACTAAACCTATTTCTCCATTCGTTCCCATCGCGTTTTAGGGGCGTGGTGAACGATGCACTAGACTACTAGATGCTGATTGC